GATTTCCTTCAACAGTTCATTTTGGCGGCATTTTGCGTCATAGTGCTCTTGTAAGGAAGCCAAAAACTTTAAGAATCTTATGTTTTGTCATATGTCTTGAAAATTACCACAAACACATTTTTTAAAATCCAGTTCCCCCTCAGCAATCTGACATCCGTGTTGGCAAAAATGTCGCTTGCTTATTAGCACTCAAAATGACATATGAAATTCCTTAAAGTGCATGCACCTAACCTCAATTTTTTTATCGTTTCATTCTTAAGAACTTCTGAAATTATATAATAACTTATTTTGAAGACTTTCGTTTGCTCACTTTGTTTCTGAGATGTTTCAGTTTGTTTGGTATGCAAATATCCGGAATTTACGTAACAAATGCATAATGATTTAAAGTGAAAGCTTGTATATCTCATTCACTATCGAGTTTATCGAGTTTGGAGTTGTGCGAGGATTACACAGCTATGTAAAACACCATTTAGCCTTTTTATTTCATGATATTTAACTGTACCTTACATTCTTTGATCAGTCATTATTCATGTGACGTAAATTCCGGACATTTGCATATCAACAAAACTGAAATAACTCCAAGACAAAGTGTGCAAACGAAAATCTTCAAAATAAGTTACAACATCATTTCAAAGGTTCTTAGGAATGAGATGTTAAAATAATTAAGGTTAGGTGCACTTTAAAGTTAAAACTAAAAAAGTGCATTACCTGAAATCGTTCAGGCATATCCGTGATACGTATTTCGTTATCTCGATCTGTCAAATGGATCTTTTCCAACTCGCTTGGCTCGTAAACCTACAATGAGAAAATGTACATTCATAGAGCAACACAATGTTTGATTAAGTTCAATATTCAAAAAGCCTTGAGCAAAACAAGAAATATGACAGTACTTAAAATATTGATGAAACAGTGCCTTACATCAAAAATGGTTTTCTTCGAAGTTTTTTTCTTTGCTCGTCTCCTGGGTTGTCCTTCTTCATCACTATATTCTTCTTCGTATTCGTCTGCCTCCTCGTCTTCCGAGTAATCTTCTTGTCCAAATTTCTCAAATTCTCCATAGTCAAAATCCAGGCCAAAAATATCCTGCGCCTCTTGTAATGCTCTAGAAAGTGATCAGATCACGGCTTGCTATAACATGCATAAGTGATACGACCCATATAGCTATATAGAGAACTTCTCAAATTCTCCATAGTCAAAATCGAGGCCAAAAATATCCTGTGCCTCTTGTAATGCTCTAGAAAGTGATCAGATCATGGCTTGCTATAACATGCATAAGTGATACAACTCATATAGCTATATAGAGAACTTCTCAAATTCTCCATAGTCCAAATCCAGGCCAAAAATATCCTGTGCCTCTTGTAATGCTCTAGAAAATGATCAGATCACGGCTTGCTATAACATGCATAAGTGATACGACTCATATAGCTATATAGAGAACTTCTCAAATTCTCCATAGTCCAAATCCAGGCCAAAAATATCCTGTGCCTCTTGTAATGCTCTAGAAAGTGATCAGATCATGGCTTGCTATAACATGCATAAGTGATACAACTCATATAGCTATATACAGGGTGTATCAAAATAAACGCAATTCATCTTTTGTGCTTAATAACTTTCGAAATACTATTTCTAGTTAAACGCTTTTAGGCTTACTTCAAAGCCTGTTCTTTTCTCTTTCAAACAAACTATTATCCTTGTCTCCAATGCTAGTAATAATTGCACAGGAAAAGATTTAGTAAAACCTATCATTTTTAGTTGCCGTTTAATTATGCAAGTTTACTATGTTATTGTTTTGTCGGTTTAAATGTTAGAATTTTCTTCTTTAAACTTTAATGTTGTCGTCACTACATCTGGAAAACCACGTAAGAACAAATTAAAAGTATTTTAAAAGAGACCAGGTTGTTTGAAAATCCTAAACGAATGCTAAAAATCGTCAAAACATTCTGGTGTCTGAGCATAGAATAAAGATCCACATAGAAGGGCAACTTACGTCGGAAGCTTTGAAGTTTTTGTCCTCGCGCATGTCGCATTACGCATGTTGGCCGCCATTTTCCTAGCCAGTCAATGACATTTTCTGGCCAATAAACACGCTGTACTGGCTGGCTGCTCCGCCTTCTGGCCAGTAAACTGCATATTTTTGCATAAAAAAACGAGGACACGTTGCACCGCTGAGTTGCCCTTCTGTTACTGATCTTTATTCTGTGGTCTGAGCCAGAGTGTCATCGAATTGCGATGTAATGTAAACAGAAACTGATTATAGCAAGTTGATGTCAGTCAGCTTAGATGGTCCAAGCCAAAATTATATCGCATTTGAAGTTCAAACTGAGTTAAAAATAGTGGGAAAAAAGCCGTAATTATACTCATTGTTACAATCCATTTAATAAAATGCAACATTTGTTTGTTTTAATGAAAAAATCAGTTATTTTCATGAGAACAATTTGTTATTCCATCTCAATTTTTTTAATCTCCAATCGCAATAACGTAAAGTATTATTACCCGCGAACCAATGAGTCAAATTTAAGAAACAACCTACTGTTAGAAAGCTGAATGGCT